AAAAAAAAAATTGTGCCAAACACGTTGATCCTTCCGCTGTGGTGACATTTTATAAATAAAAGGTCAGCCAATAGAAGCTTTCATGTGAACGAGCAGAATTAAAGTCTACATAAAAGTTTCTTTAACCCCGAGAGGTCTAATCAGCATCTGTGGTGATCCTAACCATAATTTATTATATTATTTAATTTCTTCTGACTATGATTGCCGACTCCTGTTTGTCTGAACAAAGCTGTATTTTTCAGCTCCAGAGGTATCTCCATGAAATCAGATAAAGTGCCTCAAGCATTGAAGGAGCATCCTTTTGATCTAAGGCTGTGCTCCTTGAAAGAAAGGCGTTTTGGCTTTTTGTAGCTTACTTTTCATCTCCAAGGCTCTAGGCTAAAGTAAAATACTCCTTTAAGCCATTGTCTCAGAAAACCAATCCTCTCATGTTTCCTTTCATTAAAGCCCAATCCTTCATCTTTGTCTTGTCCAGGTTCTGAAATGCTGAGTAAGTCTGCCAGGGTGACCTACATTCTGCTGGGACACAGTCTTGGGTTTGGCTTTGGTTATGCCTTATTGCCTCTCTTTGCTTACTTCATACGTGGCTGGAGGATGCTGCTGGTTGCTGCTGCCCTCCCAGGCTTCCTATTTATTCCAACGTGGTGGTAAATCTAATGGATGATGATTCATGTAACCAGTGCACAGAGAATTTTATTAGGACTTTGTGCACCCCTGCATTTCAGTGCATTAATCCGATATTAGCAATGCAATTTTAGAGAAACATGTCAGTATTCGGGTTTTAGCATTCAGTTAAAGGTTACGTAAAAAATCTGAATGGGGAAAGATTTTACCATGATATTATTGTAAGTGCTATTGGCTGTTTTTTAAAAAAAAAAAACCCAAAAAAAACAAAAACATAACATAAGCGTCTCTTGGGTTAACTCTAATAAAACATATATAATATTGTGGTCTGATGAAAATGACCAGAGCAGCTGGAGCTGATACAATGACATAGCTAACTCACATAACTGCTGTTTATATTTGTGGTGTTCACGACATGCCCAGCCTTGTCAATAAGTAGCTACAGGTTCCTGTTAAACAAAACTGGAAAACTGAGTCCACAGTTACTTGTTAAACTCAATTTCCATGTGATGCTGCATGTGGATGTCTCATAACAGCAACTTTGCTTCTTGTTATGAAAAGTATAAAACATATTCACATACATTATAGAAATATTTGATCAGCGAGTGGAGACCAACAGACGTGTTACAGCAGGCAACATCAAAATTTGTGCATGTACTATTTGGATTCACTGTGAAAGTAACTCTGGAACGTTTGATGAATGCAGAGTTAGAACAGAAGTTAGTCAATGCCTGCAAGATAATGTTTTTGTTTAGTCAGATACATTACATGTACATATTCTGTCACTCAGCGTAAGGAATTAGAATATTTTTTATTTATCCTTCAATCTAACCAGCCAAGCTAAACGAATCTATTTTTTTTTGGTTTTATTTGTCTTTGTGTTAATATATAACATAAAAAACTGTTCAAGTGCAAGTTGCATCAAAGCAAACCAGAAGATTTATGAAATAATGCCCTTTAGGCAGGCAAGGCCAAATTAGGAAAATTTGAAAATAACCTATCAGCACAAACATGTCATGCCAACTGTCAGGCGCGGTGGTGGAGGGTGGTGATTTGAGTTTGTTTTGCAGCCACAGGATTTGGGCACCTTGCAATCACTAGGCCGACCATGAACACCTCTGTATACCAAAGTATTGTTAAGTCAGATGTGAGGCCAGCTGTCGGACAGATAAAGCTTCATCCAAATTGTGTCATGTAACAGGACAATGATTGAAGCCACAGCAGCAAATCTGCGACAGAATGGCTGAAAAACAAAAGAATCAAGGTGTTGCAGTGGCCCAGTCAAAGTCCAGATCTCACCCTGACTGAAATGCTGTGGCAAAACCTTAAAAGAGCAAATAAACGAATGCCCACAAACTGCAATGAACTGAAGCAACATTGTAAAAACGAGTGGGTCAAAGTTCCTTCACAGCGATATGAGAGACCCATAAAGTCATGCAGAAAACTTTTACTTCAAGTTATTGCTGCTAAAGGTGGTTCTACAAGCTACTGAGTCACACGTTGTACTTAGTTTCCCAAAGGACTGCTTAGAGTGAAAACAAGTGAAAAATATCTTTTTGACAGGAGTGTATATATACTGGAGGAGTGTCCACCACACAGACAGAGAGAGAGAAAACAACAACTGACCCAACCCAGTACAGGATCTAAATAAACAGGAATAATTAAATAAAACAGATTAATGAACTTAATTAATGAACCTCAGAATTGTTCCTCATATATATTCTGACATGTAGATTTAGTTACATCTGGTATCACACAGTACATCAAATCCGTACATTACTGAACTGGCGTTACTGAAAACTGTCATGCTGTCAAATCCACTGAGGGTTTTGCTGAGTGATGCAATAAGTCTTTTGTTTTCTTTTAGAAACCAGAATGGCACACACATAAAACAAAGTCCAGCCTCACTATCCTTTTTACGAGCGCATGAAACTAATTTCTCAAAAGCAAAGTTCACTCACGATCAGTTCAGACAAGATAACACTGTTGTCAGTCAGCCTGGACGACATTTGGGTGACAGTTGTGATAGATAACACGTGTTTTCACTGAATCTGGAAAAATCTTGTTTTGAGGTGCATGTTTTGCTACACGCTTTTCACTGCTCTTGTGTGTGCAGCTTGATTCCTGAGTCGCCTCGTTGGCTTTTGCAGAAAGGTCGAGTGGAGGAGGCTGAGCTTGTCATACGTAAGGCTGCCCAGTGGAACAGAGTCCCCGCCCCTGAGGTCATATTCAGAGCTGGGGATTGCTTGGAGCTCATGGTACCATTTTTTTCTTATTATTTCCTTGAGCTATGAAAGCCATTGTGCTCCAGTATAAAATATAACTTAAATTGTAGAAATCACACAATACTTTTCCACCATGCAATCTGAAATTATTATATATTCAATGTGGACAGACGACTTTGCTCTATAATGTTCTGTTTCTTTCTGTGTCTAATTCAGCAAAATAAAGATGAAGAGGAGCAGACATACACTTACATGGACTTGATGCGCACCCATAACATAAGGAACATAACAATTTTAGGTGTTTTCATATGGTAATGGGCTTTCCGGAAATATACAGTAATGCCAGATATTGTGTTGCATGTTTTAGTAGCAATAATTATGCTGTCTAATGTAAAACAAACTTGTATTGCTGAGTCTTGATTATGCTTTTTTTGCAGGATCTCTGTGGCCATGGTCTACTATGGGCTCTCTCTCAATAGCAGCAACCTGCATGGAAACATCTACCTCAACTGCTTCATTTCTGCAGCCATTGACATTGTTGTGTATGTAGCCACCTGGCTTCTGATTGATAGGGCTCCACGGCCCACTTTACTCTTCACCACGCTGATGTTCTGCGGTATCATGCTTCTGGTTATAAAGCTGGTTCCTGAAGGTATGTGTACAATATTAGCAGTGCCAGGAATTAACTAGAACACTCGGTAGATTAGCACATTGTTTAAACTTTTTCTAATCACTGCCTTTTTCTTTCCAGACATGCCCATCATAGTCCAGGTGTTGGCTTTGGTGGGAAAGACTGGTGTATCTGCTGCTTACTGCTTTATCTATGTGTTTTTCACTGAGCTGATGCCCACTGTGGTCAGAAACATGGGCTTGGGGATCTGCGCCACAGCTGCACGAATAGGAGCTATCATATGTCCTTATTTACTTTACATGGGTAAGTGTGCTTTCTTTTTGTTTTTCGGTCAGAGAGCTTAGGGGTGGTGCATGGGCATCAAAGCTGAAGCAACAATATCCATGTTCGGGGCTAATCTGGCATTTTAGTATTTCAGTTAGTGTTTCACTTTGATAACAGGGGCAGTGGTTAGCATTGCTGGCTCACAGCGAGAAGAGTTATATCCATGTTAGGGCATTTCTGTGTGGAGTCGGTACACAGTGTGTGGGTTTTCCTCGTGTGTGGGTAGTCTGGCTCCTTCGTACAGTCTATAGACATGTGTGGGGTTAGGCTAACTAGATGTGAAGCATCTATGGTTGTCTGTCTCACCCTATTATAATTAAGTCTCCCAGCAACCCTAAAACGGATAAGCAGAAGAAACTGGATGGATGGACTTTGATTGGACAGCCTAACATTGCACCCTGGTTTGATCATGATTTCTGTAATAGGTTTGCAGTTCATGAGCCTGAGTGAAGGAAGCCGTGACAACAGAATTGACCTTAATGTGTAAAATCAACAGAGACCACTTTCAAATGACAAAGTCCACTTTAGGATTGACGGTTTAATAAATAACATTATACATGCAGTTATTATCAGAGGCCTCATCCTCATTTCTACTGTGACCTAGAGTTGTCATGTGTGATTTAAGTGGTTTGATTAAGGAAGTCTGTTTTCCACCTCTCTTGAAATTATTTTTAGTTGGTTACAATTTTGTATATTCATTTCCCCAATGGTTTTCTCATCTTCTCTGGACTCTGTATATCTTTTTATTTCTGAAATACATCTTGGTAACCTGACCTCCTTCCATTATTGTGTACAAGAGAATGTGCTAACACCATTTTTCCCTTTTTCCGTTTTGTTTTTTTGTTGCCAGTATATTGCTTTATTGATCTGGTTTTAAATGTATTTGTAAATGTTGTAATATAATTCTTAATGCTTGTGTATTGTGCACATCTTCATGATGTGGAAATCCTTTTAACAGTGAAAAGATCTCTCATCGTTCCATTTTAAATGCCTTTTATTTTTCTTGCAGGTCTATACAGCAAGATCCTTCCCTACATCATTTTTGGCACAGCCAGTATTATGGCTGCTGCCGTTAGCATGTTGTTGCCAGACACCAGAAACAGCAAACTCCCTGACCTTCTCATCCAGACCAAACACATCAGACGGTATGCTGTTGATGGACGTACCGAGTTCAGATTTCCCTTTTTTTTTTAATGGCGTAATGTTTGTGGATGGGAGTACACTATAACCATGACCTGAAATTAAAGGATCCGGCTTTTGATAATAAGTCTGTTACTAATGTATTTGTATTATGCAGTATATATAAACACACTGGCTCGCATCAGAAACTTTTTAATTAAAAGGAGCAAAAATTCTTCAGAGCCAACTGAATCGCAGCATTTTTTTTGTGTGTGTGTATTTTAGTCATTCTTATTTATCTGTTCATTCTGCCTTCGTTTCTCTTTATATCTTTAAGCTTCTCCTGCTGTTCAAAGGAAGCTCTTTCAACCCGACCTGATGCAACTGAAGGCTTCAAAGAAGTGAACTAGAGTGCCATCTACTGAAAGGAAATCACACAGCAAGTGTGGAAGGACCACATGCATTTGAAGATGAGCTACATGTATCGTTAGCTTTCAGATGTGTCTGTAGGACTGTGAGAGGTTAATCTGAAGAAAGTTAACTGAGCTTCTTTGTTCTTGTCATGCAGAATTAGTGATATACTTAAATTCCTGGGTTTACACTTTCTCCATCCAGAGTCTTAAATGGTGCTTTTGTTTTTGGCCTACTTGATTGTTCGTCTGTTTGTTTTTCAGAATGTATTTTTATGCACTCTTGTATTTACAACATTTATTAAAATAAACTGCATCTCACAATGATGTAGACAAAAAATAAATTGTGTAGATGGTTTTGAAATAGATTTTCCTAATTTGATAAGTCTTCATGTCTGTCCAGTTTTTGCGGATTTAGAAAAACACCCCTCATTTCATTATATTGTGCTAGGAAACTCAGATTTATTGAAACGTGTGTAAAAATACATTCGGAATACAAAAATAGTTTACACAATTCTAAAGAGCCTGAAAGTGGTACCACCCTTATTTTTCAGTATGTCCTGAACTCTTTTAAGCTTTCTTAGGAATAGTTCTCCAGGGTTCTTGAACAAGATTCAAGCTCTTCTTTTTTGTTTGTTGGCTGTATTTTGTTCTGCAGTGCTGTGGTCCAGATTCTGATGAGGCAAATCCATCACTTCCAGTGTTCCACTAAAGACATGATTTTCAGATTGTGTTCATTTGTTTCTTCAATTGTTTTTCTCTGAAGAACACACTGCACACCATGCTGACATGCTGTGTTTGAGCTAATAGTTCTTACAATGTGTAGACACTACACTGGTTTCAAAGTGCTTTTTTTTGCTTCCATAATTCATAGGTCAGTGTTAAATGGCTTAATACCATAAAACAGATACATAGTCTTCTGAAAATGGTCAGGTACAACAACTTGGCCAAACCTGAGTGAAAAATCAACCAATGTCCAAAGAAAAAACAGAGGGTCTTTCGAAAGTCTGGAGAATTATTGCCCATGATAACTTAAAAAAATAACAAAAAATAAATAAATACAAGAAAGGCTGGCAGCGTGGAAGGATGAAATAAAGAAATGAAGGCTGGCTTGAGACCTTCGCACGGTAATGTTGGTAATCCGAGAAAGAAGCGCAGTCACAATAGAAAGTCTCAGGCCTCCGTTTTGTGCTTCAGGTGAATGGATGAATTGTTAGCCAATCAAACAGGCAGCTTGGAAGGCTATAGATCCGAAAGACTTTCAAGCAGTACCATCAGCTTCACGATTATTTATTTATATAAATAAATATTTGAAAACCCTGCATTCCGGATAGTGTTCTAAAGAAATAAGTGTTATTAGTGCCTTCAAAGATAGATCCATATGTCTTTGAAGGCAGGTTAACAAATAGAATGAACTTTAAATCTTTTGTTTTTTATTATTTTACAATATTTTTTACAACTTTGTTATTTCCCATTTTACAAAACAAAAGGCCCTCACAGCATGTATTCGCTAAAGTCCTTTGTACAAAAGGTTGCACGTTTTAAAAAATGTAATGTAAATACACAAGTAGAGCGATAAAATAAAATACGTTTTTTAAAAATCGAATTAAATTTAAATGATCAAATAACGAGACTAATTTACGGGTTTTGTTTAATTATTTTTATTTTTCCTTTTTTACTAAAGAGTTTCATTTCATTCGGCCATCTGTTTACGTATGCTTTGGTATCTGTTGGAAGCATGAAGTATCTATATAAGTCAGCGTTCATACCGTCGATGGTTCATACTGCTGCTCGCGCAGCTGTCTAAAATATCGCGAGATTGCTACTCTGGACTACTTAAGGCTCAGTCTTGACTGCACCGCGCCCCCGTGATCATCCCTGCTGAAGACACTAGACCCCGGTGTCTACAGCAATAACACACCTACCCCGCTGAAAGAAGATATTGGGATAAAACAGCCAGTTAAGCTAATGTTTCTAACTTAAACAAAGGGGGAAGTCACCGGAAGAAAAGTGAACAAACATCCGCTTGCTTTCGACTCGCGTGAAATGTGCGGCTGTCACGCAACAGCTAGCAGATGAAGTTAGTTAGATAGCTAGCTAACGTGTATGTGCTGATAGTTATGGCTTTAGCTTTGAAAATCTTTTTTTTGCCTTTACGTTGTAGCTAGTTAATCCTCGATTAATTGGACATTTACATTTTGGTGCAAGTGCGGTGACCATTATGCTAGTTGTCGTGCTACGTCTACTCATCTAACACTAACCTAGCTAGCTAAGACTGGTGTTCTATTACCGTATTTGTATTCATAATTTGATGTGTCGCTCTTGTAGTAAATTCGATTTAAGCTGAGTCACAGGTTAAGCCGGCGTTGATTTGAAGACACAAATTAAGTAAGTTTAGCCAGGTTAACTGTCCTACCTGGTAACAGCTAAACAGAAAACGTCAAGTAGATAGCATCTAGTCTACAAGACAGTGTTTGTCTATTATCTAACCTCCCAAAGTTGCACGTGCTAATCACAGGCCCCTTACCTTGTCAGCAATTTCTAAATCATATCGATTACAGGATCTTATCATCTGTAGCTGTAGAGGAAAGTGTCACTCAGTCCAAGTTCATATTTTACCCTCAAATAAACATGGCTCCTAAAAAGAGACCAGTGCCCTTAAACATTGCTCCTGCTAGTGATGGATTATCCACCTCCATGAATACAGAGATTACATCTGAGTAAGTTGACCTGCTGAGTTAAAATTTTGCAGTTGTTTGAAAATATGTTATTCTAAACTGTGTCTTAATTTTATCAGGGCCAATTTAGAAGCGCTGAAGAAAATACTGGAGGAGCTGGACCTGGATGAACAACAAAAGAAAAGATTAGAAGCTTTCCTTACCCAGAAGGCCAAGGTTGGCGAGCTGAAAGATGATGACTTCCATCGTATCTGTGAGCTGGGTGCAGGCAACGGAGGAGTGGTCAACAAGGAGTGCCACAAACCTTCAGGCATAATCATGGCCAGAAAAGTGAGCTTTTGCAATTATAAAACAAAAAGCTGCTGGGTCTTTTATACTTGAGTTGATCTTTCTGGTATTAGTGTTCACCCTTTGATACCCATTTAATATAACACCTTTCTTCTGTGTTTAGCTCATACATTTAGAAATAAAACCTGCAATAAGAAACCAGATCATCAGAGAGCTTCAGGTACTACACGAGTGTAATTCTCCCTACATTGTGGGTTTCTATGGAGCTTTTTATAGCGATGGAGAAATCAGCATCTGCATGGAACACATGGTAAGAGTTAAAAAAATTGTATTCCAGTAGTGTTTTGATCCCAACAAAGATATCATCTTTTCTCTTATCTGTTGCTGAAGATTTATAGAGAGGACAACTGGATTAAAAAGTGTTTTTTACCCAAACAATCAAATGATGTTGTTTAAAATCCCTATCCATTTTGCCCAATGTCTTTGTAATTGAATTAATCTGGTGTGTGTGGGTGTGTGTATATGCGTGTATGCATATGCAGCAGTAATTTGTTGGAAGTGGGTTAATGAGGTACACAAACTGTGTTAATTCTTTACAGTATTCACAAAAAGGATAGAATAATCTAGCCAGTCACTGGCTACATTAGTCGCCTTGAGTTCTTCTTTGCACCTGACAGTGCCTTCTTCCTTGTCCCAAGATATACACTCTCCATCTGATATACTTGTTCCTAATCCTGCCAATTCTTGCCAGTCTCAATGTGCATCTCAGTTCAATCTTCAATTGAATTCCACCTCATTTTCATCATCAGCCCCTTACAGACGCAGGTCTGTTATTACTTTTGCGTAACTGTTTTTAAGAATCAATCTGTTGGCATTTTCATTTACTTTCTGAATACTCAGTCTTCAGGCTGCCTTCTGTTATTTTAGCACTCGTATCACAAGTTGCTGTAATCTCTCTGGTGTAGGATGGTGGCTCTCTGGACCAGGTGATGAAAGAAGCCAAGCGGATTCCTGAAGAGATTCTGGGCAAAGTCAGCATTGCTGTAAGTGTATTATTTTTTGCTGTCATGTTCTAATGTGGTAGTAAGTGGTAGACATTAATGAAACAATGTAGTGTTTTAATTTAATTAATTGAGGTGTTTAAAAACAAACAAACAACCAAACAATCACGTTCTGTCATAGTTATGTTATGATTTGTATTGAGATTAGGATCAAAATAACCATACTTGCTTTGCACAAGTGCATCTAAACACTTGTCACTCTTAGTTCAGGATGAGTTCTGTCATATTGTTTTCTGTAGCATCAAGCCTGTTTAGCGTCATTGACTTCCTTAATTTTTCTCCGCTTTGAAACAGGTTTTGAGAGGCCTTGCCTACCTAAGAGAAAAACATCAAATCATGCATAGAGGTATCAGCATTTTCATTAAGTTTATGATTGTATCTTGAATAAATGAGTTTCATCTGCAAGTAGGATGTGGAGCAGTTTCTGTTTACAGCCTAGTTTGATCTCAAGTGGGCCAGATTAGTAAAAGAACTGCATAATAACATCTTACTATAACGATCATTTAGTGCGTGTATGTTTGTTCCCAACTCCTTCTAGACCCCGTTCAGTATTAAAATAAATTAAACTTGCCATATACATTTTTTGGAACTAAACTATAGGGTTTTACTCTTTTTGACTGAAACAAGTTGTTGGGATAGTAGTATTTTCCATACAGATTCATTTGGGTATTAAAACTTTCATCATTTTTCCCAGAAAAGCAGTGTGGCTTGTTGAAAAAAAAAAAAGAGGATATTTATGATTATACTACAACTTTGACACTTTGCAAAGCCATCCAGAGAAGGGCTGGACCATATCATACCATTCACGGTAATACCGGTATAATGTTGGGCAACGATAAGAAAATGAAATATCGCGATAGAATATGGGTAAAACGCGCATGC